TTTATGTTAAGAAAATAAGTGACATCTGAAGTCCAAAGAGGACTGATCACAGTTTTATAAGAGGTGTTTTCCCATTTGAACTCTGGTGTGAGTAGATTCTTCTGTAGGTCAGGGCTACAGTGGTCTGTTTGGCTTGATCTTTTGGTAGAGTCTCCGTAGGGAGTGGTGGATAGACTAGGACCTAAGTCCCTGTCAGGTATCTATTCCAGAAGTATGTATTTTGGCATCTACAAGCTAAAACTGGGCATAGCAGCTCTTGGTTTTAGGTTTTCCGTACTTTTTTCTTCATGTTTGTTTTAAGCTCAGGTAAAAATAACCTCCAACTCCTCCTTCTGTACTCCAGTTTCCATTCAGGGTATAATATTATCCAATAATTTATTTTCTTTTTATGCTGGGCAATAAATTGATGTTTCCAGAGAGCTGCATGGGGAGAGGGGGATGTAGGATAAAGTTGAGCGATTTTACCCTAAAAAAAATGTAGTAGCTCAGCATGAATAAGATGAGGTTTGATAGCTTTCCAGGAAATTCCAGCTTGATATTTCAGGAGGAAAATGGCCCTTGTTCTAGTTGAAGTGAAAAGGCTATAAATTAACAGACAATTTAACAACATTCCAGAGGTTAAAAATAACTGATGTATGTCCAAAAAAATGAATGTTGTGTGTGTTGGCGATGGGCTTGCTGATGCTGCAGTGAGCTCTCATTTCTGACAGCCCTTTGTAATTCTGATGGTTTTGATAAGTGAGTAACCATGCTGAAAGCAGTCTGTGATCTGGGAGACTGGACTTCCGGGGAAGGAGGGATGTGCGATCCCTGAAGGCAGGAAGAGCAGCAGAGTATGAGGTGCACATGCCTCACCAGGTGCTGGTTCCTTCTCAAATAACAGCTGCCCAAAAGAGTGTGATAAGAACCCTTAGATGTTTCACTAGTATGAATCTGAATTCATCACCAAGTTCACCCAGCTGCCTGTGTTAAGTCACTTCAAGTAGAATCATGCCAGAGGAACAGGTTTCAGACCTAGTGAGAGTCTTTAGCAGCCCGCCTGATCAATTTGCCAGTACATGCTCCAGACTTGGGGGGCGAAGCTAGGGCCACTTTGATCTGTGACTTCAGTAGTCCAGTGACTGCACATGCCAGGTGTGCCAGGGGATGGATGAACATCTTGTTGAGTGACCCAGTAGACAAAAGCAAGTCACTGTTAAGGGAGGGAGGTTTTCCTTCTCTGGTTGAGAGCACAGAAGACTGTGGGGAGGGCTTTTGCCTTTTTAATCCTTTCCTAGCTTACCCAGCTCTCCCTTTTGTCCAGGACTTCCTCCTAAGACTCCCTCCTGTCCATTGGCCCTTTGATAGGAATAATTACATGGTGAGTTGACCCCCTGCTCCTCTGGCCACACACACCTACCCATACACACTTACACACGTACACATGCATGCAAGCATTTTCCATTTCCAGGTCATCTATTTCATGGCAGCCTGTTCTCTGGACGCATTTATAAATACAAAACACCTACCCCTTTGGCCCATAACATCAGTTGCCTGTAGGTTGTGTGTCTGAGGCCTTCACAAGCCATTAACTTTGTACATATGTTGGGCAAGTGTTTGTTGGGCTCTGCAGACTGACTTTGAGAGAGGCAAAGTCTTCAAGAGCTTATTTCATCTGGAACGTGGGACTTTGCCCAAGGTGGGAGTGGCCTTGCTCAAAGATGAGTTTTGTGGTAGATGGTAAAAGACGTTCTGGGGGAAATTTGACCCTCCTGCTGGCACTGGTTCTCCATTCAGCATTTAAAAACCCATTCAGGTTATATCTTCCTAAGAAAAGAGTGGATTTCTATGTTTACATGAAATGATCATTGGAGTTAAGATGACCTGCTTTAAAGATTTCCAAGATAGCCTCTCTTCCTGAGACGGAGAGATTGGAGGGGATCCATTTGTACAATGTGGAATCAAACTGTGGGTTTCTCAGTAGCTAATGAAGCCATGTACTGTATAGTGTTTTTCTCAATACCAACTCATGTTCTTCAGATGCTTTTCTGTTTTATAATGGTGAGGGAAAAGGTGTAATTTGGGATTCCACAGTGCCTTGCATATAGTAGGCGCCCAATAAATACTTGTTGAAGCAAACCAAGTTTCCCAAGTCTTCGTCTCTTGCAGTGACCAAGACATCTTTCTCCTCTGAAGGGCTTGGCAGTTGTGGCTGAAAAATAAGCAGTATCATTATTTGCTTGAAATCATATATACAATTTGTATGAATTTCAGTATGTTGCCAAGACATGGTTTTTTCGTATTGTATTTTCTGTAAATATTTCTGGCACTGAACTGTAAAGTAAAGGCGAACTGTAAATACAAAGGTGCACCCGTGTCCCCTCCCCTCCTGTGTTTTATCTGCGTCGGTTAGGGAAGAAGGCCCAGAGGTTTGTTTGTATTTATGCTGATCCTTTGTCCAGAAGAAACCCATGGAATATTGAATGTAATACATTTAGTCAATTAAATTTTAAGGAGATTCTTATCTAATAACTTCATGTGTGCTTTTGGTTCCAGGCAGGGGTGCCCCTAATTCACTCTTTTTCCAGGGCGTCCACTCAGCTTTGGCTACCTTTCATCATGTAGCTCTATAGATTTTCACCCTGATTTCATAGCATTTCATGAAATATTCAAAACTCATTGTTAAAGGAAAGATATTTGGCCCCCTATGCTGGAATAAACAGGGCTAATCAAAACACTGCCAGCAGAGGCGTATCCTACAGAGGCTGGGCGTCTCTGCGTTGGGAGCAAAGAAGTGCCTGCTGTACCCTTTGCCAGCAGAAAATCCGAGCTCCACCAAGGCTGGGAGGGTGCAGAGGAGGTCACCCCCCTCCCACCCCTGCTTAGGGTTGGCTGCAGAGGGTTGCGTGAGACCAGACTGGTCCCTCAAGGCCTAGATCGCATGCCACTTGAGGAAACGCTGAGAACTGTCATGGTGCATGCCCCAGCCAAGAGCCACCTCCGACCCGACATGGACTCACCATGTTGCTAGTGAGCTGCCTTCCTGCGGTGTGTCCACGCTTGCTCTACCCTCACCATGGGACCTCCTGCTGTACCTGGTGGCCAAGGAAGCTGACCATGCAGTGGCCGTTTTGGCATCTGAAGAAAAGTGTGTAAAAGCTTTTCCCACCCATGCTGAGCTGCTCTCTCTGTCCCTAAACCCTCCAGAACTCAATGCCAAGAAATGGCCTCCAGTCCTGATCGCTCTGCGCCTGGGCCCAACCTCAGCCCTGTGTCCAGCCTGGCAGGGCACTGCTCTTAGATCCACATCCTAGCACCAGCTGCTCAGACTTCTTTTGTGGACTCTGACCACCATATCACTGGGTTAGGACCCCTTGTGAACAGGCCCCAGCTGTCCTCTCCCCTCCCCACTCTTTCTGCATGCGACTGACCTGTGTGCACTTTCCCTGCACTGGTGTCTTCCTAAAAGGGGTCTTTCTACCCCAGGGGTCCCCTTAGACCAACCACCCGTTCCCTGGATTCACTTCCCCAGCCTGGAACCAGTTCTGCCTGACTGCAGGCTGTGCTCTTAAACCACAAAAAGCCACAATCTCCCAGTCAAGTCCAAGAGTCACCTTGGTCCTTGTCAGTGAATGGAGTCCTGAGCCTCACCCCGACAAGGTCTGACCCAGTAGGGCAGAGCCAGCCCAGACACTGCATATTTATTAAGTGTCTTCCAGTCCCCTCCATCTGCCAGCAGTGACAGGCCTGTGGTCTGGGGAGCCTCTGGGGAGCTGTGGTGCAGCGGCTGGTCCTTCCCAGCCTGGCCAGGGTCTCTCCCTCCACCTGGAAGACCCAGAGCCTGCTTCCTGTCCCAGGGGCCTGGCACATGGAAGTTTCTTCAATGCTTTATGAATGAATGAATGACAGAGGCGAGGTGGGAGAAAATAAAAACGGCATTCGAAGCGTTCTGCTCACATAGGAGAACAAAGAGCATAATGAAAGCCTTAGAAGTCTCACTGAAAACCTCATGGGGATGCAGAAGCTTCTAGATTATACAGTAACCATGTAGTGAGGGTCTACTACGTATTAGAAGGTTTTTAAGTGGGAGCCCAGTGACCCAGTCATGCATGGCAGACAGGCTTTGTTTAGCCAATATTTTTTTTTTTTGAGAGGTTTTTGCTATAGGGCACCTGCGTTCATCAGAAAGACAGAGACAGAGAGACAGAAAGTGAGAAATCACCCCCCAGGGGGCGTGGCCATGCCGCAATCCCTTCTCCATTCTCCTCCCAGGATCTTGGCATGCACACACATGCACCTGGCCTGAGTTTAAGCTGCCAGGTCCGGGACTCAAACCGTGGTCAACTACATGGGAGTCCAGCGACATAGCCATTACGCCAACTTTGGTCCCTAGCCAGCAGATTTGAGCCAGTATTTCCCAGTGGAGATATTTTAGATAAAAATCCAGACTTTCTGGCTCTCTCCAGAAGTTGAAGATGGGGCAGTACTAGACCTGTGTTTCTCATGTGGCAGCCCCAGGCTGGCCACACAGATGCCAGCTTTGGATGTGCTAAGCTCATCCAGTGTGCTCAGGTCCCCTCCCCTCCCATGTAGTGTGGGGTGCCCATGAGTGGCTACAGCCTGGGGACCTCGCTGGCCCCCAGAGGTGTCTGTGACCTCAGATACTCAATATGAACATCCACGGGGAGTTCATTTTGGTCTCACCATTCTACTTCTCTAACTTCAGAATTATTTCCATCTTAGGACAGAGAGGGTCAGGGAGGTGTCACATGCACCCAGTAACTGGCAAGCTGGGATTCACACCCAGGCCATCCTGCGGGGAGCCTGGGCTTCTATTCTCAGCCAAACTATCTCGAACTAGCCCGCCTCCTACCCATTCCTCCAAAACATATCTCCCTGAAGGGCTATCCCATAGCCTTCACCTGAAGGAAACTGTGACCTTGTTATGTCACCGCACAGTCACAATTGGGCTGAGAGCAGAGCACGGCTCAGCCCGCCAGTTCCCCTGGGGCAGCCCCACTAGCCCTGGCCAGGCTGGTCCAGCTTAGCTGCACAAGCACCATGAAATACCCTCTGGTGCCGCTGGTGAATGACCTCACGTTTCCTTTCCTGGTTTTCTGCCTCTGCTTGCCCGTGGGTTTGCTGCTGTTCTGGTTGGTCATCTGGCTGCGCTTCTTACTTCGCCAGGGTGAGCTGTGTACTCGTCCAGGTTGAGCCCTAACCTCAGAGCTGGGCAGAAAGTCAATAGGCCAGGGTATCCTAAAACAACTGCAGAAAGGGGGCTCTATTCGGGCATTTTAATTGCTGGCCCAAATACAAGCCATTGACTGTAGAAGGACTGGTGTGGTCATTGAGGGTTTCTTAACCTAGAGTCCAAGAATGAGTCCCCAAGTTTGGGAAGCAATGCATTTGTGTGCATCTGTGTTCCCTCAGGGTCACTGTGAGCCTATGTGATCTTTTGTACAAATTATAAAGAGGTGGCTCCTCAGGGCAAATGAATCAGAAAATGTCGGGCACATGCAAACACACACAGCTTGTTTTTCAAGTCACCAGGTCTGGGACTCAAACCACGATGTTAGCTGTGTGGGATTCAGCTGTCTCAACTGCCGTACTATGGAGCCATCCCTATAATGCAGTGATTTTTTATAGCATGCCACCTGAGATGGACTAGTTCTCCATGTGATGTGGATGTTCTACCGTTAGTCAACCAAGACCCCTCCTTACGGATACGCACATGGTTTCACGTGTCGGGACCAGCAGTTGGAGTAATGGCTATGTCCCTGGACTCTCATGTAGTCAACTGCGGTTCAAGTCCCAGACCCAGTGGCTTAAACTCACAGTGGGTGTATGTGCATGCATGCCCAAGATCCCAAGAGGAGAATGGAGGAGAAGGGATTGCAGTGTGGCCATCCCCCCTGGGGGGTGATTTCTCTCTCTCTCTGTCTCTTTGTCTCTCTGGTGAACAGATGTGCCCTATAGCAAAAACCTCTCAAAAAAAAAAAAAAAAAAACCCCCTAAAAAAAAAAAAAAAAAAAAACACATGGTTACTGTTCATGTGTTCTTCATCACAGAGCCGTGCTGGGTGGAAGCCATGTGCCTGTATGCTCAGATATTTGTTACTGAGCTGGTTTTACACGGATGAGTGGGTCAGTGCCTTCTCCTGGGCCGTGCCCAACACGGTAGGCCTTGTGCTCGCCTCTAGGGTCCTTTCCTGTTTAGTGGAGGGATGTGGCCACAATTCCTCGCTCCTAGCCCTGCAGTCTTTGTGAGGTCTCAGGACTGACCCATATGTCATGATTCTACCATGGCCCCTTGGCCTCAGGCAAGGCTGGAGGGATACCTAGGCCTGGCAGGGGACTCCTTTGGGGTTGGAGACAGGGTGTGGCCACCTGAGGGGCCTTGTCTTCTACTTCCACAGATTCAGAGGAAAATGACTCCATTTTATGCTTCGATTGGGAGCCTTGGAGCAAAGGCCCAGCTGAGTTTTGCTGGGAGGGAACGCTCCACAGCCAGGAGGAGGAGAGGCTCTACCGGTGAGCTTGCTCTGCCAGGTGAGGCCCTTCCAGGGATGGGAGGCTGGAAGTGGGAGCCTCGGGGCCTGGCCGCCTCCCTGGGCAGCCGCTCTGTTGGAGAGTTGGCTGCCTCCATTATGTCGGGGGACTGGCTCCTTGAGCCATGGCAGAGAGCTCGCCATCTCTGCTGTGTTGGAAAACCTCAGCCGCATTGTGTTGGGCACCTGTTCTTGCCATGGTGGAGGGCCAGCCACCTCAGCCATGAAGAATTTCTTTTCAATGGACCTCATACCCTTTCCTCGCTGACCTCACCTCCCACCACTCTCCTTGGGGTCTTGGCACTGGCTGTTCCCTCTGCCTGGAACCTTCTTCCTTCAGATATCTGCTCGGCGTCTCCCTCCCTCCAACGTTTTGCCTGATCACTCTATTTGATTGGGAATCCCCAACCCGCCCTCCTCCTCCCTGTTCCACTCTACCTTTTGTTTTGCCAGGGCACCTAGCACCTTCTGACATGCTACAGTGGCATGTCCTGAGCACTCAGAGCACTGCCTGACACATAGCGAGGCCTCCCTATGAATTTGTAGGAGTGGCGTCATCATAGCAGTAGTAATGGCTGGTGCTCCCCGGGCCTTGACAGTCACCACAGACCATGCTAAGCATTTCCCGCCCGCACAAAGTCCTCTGAAGAGGATGCCGCTCTTACCTCTGGTGACGAATGAGCCCTGGGTGTCCAGGCAGTGAAATAATTTGCCCAGAACACCACAGCAATTGCACGCATGGAACACCTAGGAGACCTCATCCATCCCAGTGGGGTTAGATGCCATCTCTGTGCCAATGACCCGAAATGTGTGTGTCGCTCTAATCTTCCTTCTGAACGCTCTGACCTGTCTGCTTGGGATCTCTGCATGTCTGCAGTGGGATCTGTGATTCTTGTTGCTACCCAAAAAGGCAAAACATAGCACCCCACTCTTCTGCGATTGATCCCCATACTCAACCCGTAGGCCTATAAGTCAGCCTCCAGGCCTTCCCTCCCACTCTGTCTCCCAGCCATCAGCAAGTCCCAGTGACCCTGCTCTCGATCTGTCAGCATCCTCCAGAGCCTGCCGTACTCTGGAATCAGCCCACACGACACACTTACAGGTCCTACTCTCCCACCCCCGTGGACCACGGCTCAAAGCCCCTTCCTGTCTGAGTAGAGAGGTGAACAGTGAGAGAGCCCCCCTGCTCAACCTTGATTCAGCGATTCTTAACCTTTCCGGGTCATGACCTCAACAGTTAAGGGCTATTTCCCAGAAACAGGCATGCCCTCCATAGGCACGCGGTCCAAGATTTGTGTGCAGTGCTGGCTTCATGGGAGTGCAAGCCACAACCACACAAGGTCCCCTGCCAGGAGGGCCCCATTGGTTTGTGCTCTGCTGTTGCTGTCCTGAAATTCTCAGTATTTGAACAAGGGGCCCAGCATGTTCATTGGCAAATGGGCCCTGTAATTATGTAGCCTGCCCTGTTTGTGTATAATTAAAGGGGTGAGAAAATAAGATTTTCAGACTCTGCACAAGAGCCCTGTCCCATTTCTACAGAGACCTTCCCAACTCCTTTGTGTCTCTGTTTCTTAGTTACTCTTTCCTTCCAATGTCAGCTCCGCACCAACCTGCATTTGCTTCTAGCTTGTTTTCCCCAGAGTCAGCTGGGCTGTGCCGATGGCCGAAGTAGACAGCAGAGACTTGCCATGAAGGAAGAGAACTTTGGAGGTGGAGGTGCCTCCCTGGGACCCAAAACTCTCCTCCCCAGATGGACACAAGAAAACCTCCAGGGGAGCCAGCCCTTCTCCATCATCTCAAATCACCCCCGAGGCCTTCCAGGGAGGTATGAGAAGGCACATGGGGAGAAGTGGGCTGGCCAGACTGCAGAGGTCCCAGGGCAGGGCCTACCGAGGGTGTGGGTTATTTTGAAAACGAGGCAGTTCCTATGCTCAGGAAGTCCCTGACAACCTGCCAGGCCTGGTCAAGTCCCATTTATTCAGTGAATCGTGGGGCCCATGGCCAGGCCGGCCCTGACTGGAGAGTCCCTGGCACCCTCTGACGGTGCCTGACCCTCTTCAACTTTTCAATGGGAACTTCCATTTCCTGATTTCACACTCACTTCTTGATTAGAGTTTAGGTTGATTTTTAATAACAAATAATCATTTAAAAAGTATGCTAGATGGCACATACATTTGCCAGAGAGAGAGAGAGAGCTAGAGGAAGAGAGAGGAGAGAGAGAGGGGGGAGTGAGAAAGTACCCCCATGAAACATGGTCACACCATAATCCCTTCTCCTCCATTTCTCCTTTTGGGGTTTGGGGCATACACACACACATGCCTGGCATGTCTTTCAAGCTGTCAGGTCCAGGACTTGAACTACAGACTTGTCCATGTGGGATCCAGCTGCATTAACTATCAGACCACCAGCCCAACAAATACTCATCTGATAACTGTCTAGAGGGCATCCATCATGAGCCTAGTTACAGAAGGAGTGGCTCGCATTTAGAAATACTCAGTGTGCGCTGCGGGCACTTCTCTGTGTGGTTTACAGACAGGAGCGCTTTTAACTCTCAAGAATTCTATGAGGGGGACCAGCAGTTAGTGTAATGGCTATGTTGCTGGACTCCCATGTAGTTGACCGCGGTTCGTGTCCTGGACCCGGTGGCTTAAAACTCACGCCGGGCGTGTGTGCGTGCGTGCCCAAGATCCCGAGAGGAGAATGGAGGAGAAGGGATTGCGGCGTGACCATCCCCCCTGGGGGGTGATTTCTCGCTTTCTGTCTCTATGTCTCTCTCTGTCTGTCTGGCGAGCGCACGCGCCCTACAGTGAAAATCTCTCAAAAAAAAAATTAAAAGAAAATTTAAAAAAAATTAAAAAAGAATTCTATGAGGTAGGGTCCTTGGCTATTCCTGCCTTACTGACGGGGAAACCGAGGCACATAGCAGTCAAGTAATTTGCTCGGCATCACAACAGTGGAGTGAGAATTTGAACGTAGGCTCCATGACTCCAGAGCCAGGTCCAATCCATGGTGCCAGTACCTCTCCAGGCTGGGGCGTTGGGGAGATGTGGTGAAAGGTTCTGATCTTTGAAGAGGTTTAGTCTCTCCTTGCACCCCCACTGACTACCCAGGGACAGCAGGGCTGATGGGTGGAGAAGGGGACCTTCCCTCCCTGGTACCAACTAGTATTAACTTTAGCCGCTCTCTCTCCTTCGGTCCACATCCTACGGCCTTTTAAATGTCCGAAGGAGAGAGAAGGGGGCCCAAATTGTTAGCTGGTCTGATCTTTGGTCCCTGCGCATCCTGCCCTGTTAGTCAGAATGATCCAAAGCACAGTCAGAACACGCCCGCCCCGCTCCCCTGCTTAAAGCCCTCTGATTCCCTGTTGTCCTCGGGCCACGTCTGAGCTCCTCATGGGCTGTAGAGAGCCACCCTTTGGGATCCAAGCCCCACTGAATCTGTTCCTGTCCACAGTCTGCCATGAGCACTCTTGACCTGGGTTTTCACATGTAGGAGCTTTTGTCTAGAGGACCTGCTCTGAAAAGAGTGAAGGCTGAATATCGGATAGATGCATTGGCCTGGTCTCTGGCACAGTCGGTGGCGTACTGGGCTGCGGACCTGGAGGTCACATGCAGACGGTGGTTCAAATCCCTCACCAGCTTGGCCTGAAACATTCTGGGTCATGCACACGTGCCCAGGATCCTGGCAGACCGGCAGAGAGGGATGTGACCAGGCCCTCTGGAGGGGGCTTCTCTCTGTCTCCCATGTCCACCTGGGCTCTGTCATGGGAAAACCTTGATATGTGCATTGCCATTTTACAGGTATTGCCAAGTTGGTACCGAAAGGTGGCACCAAGGGCATATAAAGGTCCCCACAAAGGTGGCACTCTGTGCATCTCCTGCACATGTGTGCACGCACACACAAACACACACTCCACACGCTTTCCTCACACCTGCTTTGTTCTGCCTAATGAGCTTTTGTCAATGCTGGTTTCCCTGGAGCTTCTGGAGAGGTCGAATAAGCACTTTGGTAACAGCCTCCCATGGCGGAAGCTTCTCCCTGGCTCTGTCTGCCATTTCTCCAGCCGCCCTGCTCTGTGGTCCATGAACTGTCCTCTCTGCTGTCAGGAGGCTGCCGGAGCATTGTTCAAATTCCCCACCGACCCAGGAAAGCCAGACAAGCCACTGAATCCCCCTGCCCTGCAGCCACTCTGAAAAAGGCAGGAGGAGTGGACCGTGAGGGTGAGCGGGCGTAGCCAGGCTCACCAGGCTCTGCCGCCTGGGCTGAGCAGGGAGGGTGTCGGTCAGCCCAAGCGGCAGAGGCAGGTGAGACAGATCTCGGTGTGGGGAAGCAGCTCTAGGTGGCGATAACAAGGAGTGTGAGGGGCTGAGATCCAGGGCCTCTGAGGGTGTCCGTGGGGGCCCTATCCTGGTGCACGCACAGTGAGATGTGAGTGTGTGACATAAACACCCCGTGATCCCTAGTTCCAGGCTCCAGGGCACATCGCCCCGTGCAGCAGCCACAGTTGGCGGAGTGCCCATGCATCGTCCTGCTGTGGGGACAGCACCACCCATCAGGTGGGCCAGAGTTCCACTTTCAGGTGAGGAAACTGAGGTGCAGAGGATAAATAATTTGCCCACAGTCACGCACCAGAAGTGGCCCGTTTTTCCGACTCTCAGCTCCGACGTGTTTCTCAAGGTCCACGGTAAGACTCTTTCTCTTCCTAGACTGGAACAATGCAGCCTGGGCCGTGCTGCTACTGTGTGTAGGAAACACTTACAAAGCCGGAACAGTGACCATGTGCCCCCAGCCTGCAGAGCGGAGAGGCTGCCAGGACAGTAGCCAGAACACACGGGGGCCAGCAGACGGCCCCACCCCACGTCTGCTGTCTCCACACATCTCTCAGGTTTGCCCTGGGACCACACCTCAGCCTCTCCTACAAGCTCTCAGAGCTTCGGTGTATCATTGGCAGCGTGGTCGAACCCCAGTGTATTCGGTTCCTGGAGCTCCCACAAAGTGAATCACACCCTGGGTGGTTCAGGTTGATGGGCATGTGTGGTCACATAGTTCTGGAGGCCGGAAGTCCGGATCAAGGGGCTGGCTGCGCCTTGCCCCTTCGAAACCTGCAGAGGAGAGAGCCTTCCTTGGCTCGTCCAGCTTCCGGCAGCTCCAACGCTGTTCCTTGGCTCAGCTGCGGCTTTGTAAGTGCTCTGTAAATTGTTGTCAGAAGAAAAAGGTTGAGTGCCTGGAAATGAGGTGCTCTGTGTGCATCATTCGCCAGGCACTGTTTAAGAGCTTGACATAGGAGCCAGCAGGTGGCATGGTGGTTGAGGCTCTGGACTCCCACATGGCTGACCACAGTTCGAGTCCTGGACACAGTAGCCTGAAAAATCACACCAGGTGCCTGTGCATGTATGCCCAAAAATTCTGAGAAGAGAATGGAAGATTGTGGCATGGCCATCGCGCCCTGGGGGGGTGATTTCTCACTTTCCTTCTCCTTGTCTCTGTCTCTCTCTCTGGCAAGTGCACGTGCCTTATGGGAAAAAAAATGCTTGACATGCGTTAACTCACTGAATCCTCATAACCACCCCTCAAGACAGGCATGATTTCCATTTAAGCGATGAGGAAGCCATACTCAGAGAGGTTAAGGCATTTTCCTGAAGTCACATAGCATTCAGTGTCGGAGCTGAGGATCAGTCTCAAGCCTAGGAGGCTCCACCACGTCACAGTCACATGCCGGGGGCGGGCTGGCCAGAGGGTACCCGGTGCTGTAGTGAGAGGTGTGTGCAGGAAGGCAGAGGAGATGGGGGTACACAGCTCATAGCCCAAGGGCTTTCTGGGTCTGAGGGGCACAGAATGAGACTCCAGGATAGAAATAGGGTTGTCTGGATCACAGGCTTCCCAGAGAGCTACTGGCGGGCTGCCCGGGTGCAGGGCCAACAGGACTGAGTCACTCCACTGTGACCCAACCGGCCAGGCCGATACTCTGGGGCTGAGGAATGTTGCCCGGGGCGCGGACACGCTTCTCTGGGCTTCGTTCTGAGGTTAGGAAACCAGGAGGTGGCACTTCCTTAAAAAGGCTTGAAATGCAGCTCGCCCAAGGTTCAGGCTACTCTCTCTCCCTTCTCGCTTTCTTCCAGGGATTCCCTGCAGGTAAGGTGGCGAGCCAGGCTTTCGGATCTGGACTAGATGTTCATTTACTCAGGCACGAGTGTGTTACTCCAGCATTTATTTATGGATATATTTACTCACTTATCCACCCATCCAACTAATAACTCATTCACTTGTCCCTTCATTCACTCATCACTCACATTTTCACACATAAAGTACACGGCACCCACAGTCCCTCCACCCATCCACCCGTCCCCGAACTAGCCATCCATCCAGCCTCCTGTCCAGTCGTCTTCCTAACCATCCCTTTTCTCATCCAGCCATTTTCTGATTCAACCTTCCATTCTTTCTTCCATCCATCATCCATCCATCCACCCACTCACCCACCCATCCGTCCATCGTCCAACCACCCAGCCAGTCAGCCAGCTTTATTAAGCCCCTACTGTTTCCCACGCAAAACTCCTGACTCAAAGTCGTTCACACCCGCTTTCATGGCTGATTCAGCTTATGTCCTGGGTGGCCTCAGCACCAATGGAAGCTCCTGCTCTCCGGCCTCTTGGTGGCTTAGTTCCACTGTCTCCTCGGGAGGAAGCTCAGGACAAGTGGACGGTTGGTCCTCTGTGCAGCCCCCATCTGTGTGTCCCATCCAGAGACAGCTGCCTGACAGTCGGGGTACCCCTTCGTCCTGTAGGGCCTGTCCCACCTTTATTAAAAAATTGGCCAGAGGGTGTGTGCACTCACTGGAGAGAGAGAGAGAGGAAGTGAGGAAGCAAAGCAACCCCATTTCATCACCCTGTTGGGGTCCTGGGCACAGGCACACACGCGCCTGGCACGTTTCTCAAGCCGCCAGATCCAGGACTCTAACCGCAGTCAGCCACGTGGGATCCAGTGTCTTAGCCACCATGCCTCCAGCTGGCCCCTTATCTGTCGATGTCAGGCCCATGCATGGTCAGGGCACTGCAGCCCCAGTGAGGGGGTAACTCCAGTTTGGGGGCTTCATTTCTCAGCCTCCCCCAGGCCAGAGGAAAGCTCCAGACCACGGTGACCTGTGGACTTGAGGAGCACCTGGGGCCTCCCTTTGAGTAAAAGCACGTATGCCACCTGAGAGGGTTGTGACACTCAGAGTCTTGGACCAGGGCTGGGCAGGCCAGGGCATCCTGGGGAAGACAGAAGGGACTCTTCGTCTGTCACAGATGCAGGGAACGGGACGGGTGCTCCTTACGTGGCCCTCAATGTCCCACGGCTAAGCCTCTGCAGGTACCCTTCTCTGCAACCGGAACCCCTCTTCATGCCCTGCCCCTACCTGAGGTTCAGCCTTCAGTTCTCACCTCAGCTGAGAAGCCGCCTCTGCCAGGAAGCCTTCCTGAGGGCCCCAGGCCTACTCTTCTCTCTGAAACATTATCGTAGCTGCCAAGTAGGGGCTTCACAAGTACTTGAATGAATGAATGAATGCGCTCCATTTTACACACCAGGGAATGCACTTTCCCGGCTTCCCCCACCTCAGCCTTTTCCCAGCTAGCACCTGCTCCTTCACATTCCAGCCCAAGGGCCATTCCCAGGGGGCCCTCTGGACCCCACATACCACCTCTCCTGCTTCCTGCCCCTGCGGCACCCTCCCAGCCCATCCCTTTCCACACCCCGGCACTTCCTGCTTGTTTGGTCCTGGCAAACGCCCCATCACCTTTTCACAGAGACAGAAACTAAGGCTCAGAGAAGTCTCCGAGGAAACCGCCAAGTCGGGAGCCCTGGGGCCCTGATGGCTTTTTTCCACCCACATTAGCCAGATACTTTATTCATCTGGTTTTATTTCAAGACCAGGGTAGCTATAGGTACTAGCAGTAGTGGTACAAATAATGTTTCATGACTATTTTTTAAAGATGCCATTTCCACTTCCCAGTCCCTGTGCAGGTGGGAGAGAGTCGGGGGTGTGTGTGTGTGTGTGTGTGTGTGTGTGTGTGTGTGCCTGCCCAGAAGTGGCCCCGACCAGGCCAGCCCCGCCCCAGGAGGAGGCTGGACGGTTGTCCCAGTGTGGGGGTGTCTGGGAATTGGGCGTGCCACAGGCCCTGCGTCTTCCTTCTGCTGGCACTGCAAACTGAGTTGTCCTCGCGGCGACAGTGCAGCAGCTGACTGGAGCCTCACGGTGCCAGCCCATGACAGAGCCTGCCCTTCTCCCCACGGCCCAGATGCAGAGGCTGGCCCTGCTGCCCCTGGCCTCACCGTGTCCCCGGATCCCGCGGGCCCGCATCGCCAGGCAGCTGGGGCGCTGTGCCCAGCCCTGGGCCCACCTGAGCGGCAGGTACCGGCATCACGGGAGGGGGGAGAGATGTGGACCTCCGAGTGCCTGGCATGCATGTCATCCACTCAGCCTTCCTAAGACACCCCTGTGAGGCCAGAGTGTTCCTCCCCTGTAAGGTGAGGACACGGAAGCTCTGAGGCCACGTCACTGGCCCAGGTCAGCAGCTGCCCAGTGGTGCAAATGAGCTCCACACCTTGGTCCTGGGGACCCCACTGTGCCCCTGCAGGGCCTGGGACTCTGCTCTGTCTCCACGCTGGTGCTGGCCCCCTGTGGAACTCATTGATTTTTGGCTTCTTAGAGGTGCATTGACCTGCTCCTTCCTCTGGATGTAGGGAGTATTAGGGACCCCAGGTTCTTATTTGGGGTTCAGGATTAAGGTGTCTCAGCTGAGTCGGTGTGGCTTTGTGGTCACCTGCCTGAGAACTGTGTCATCACTCCTTCCTGGCCCATGTGCTACCGTGTGTTAAAAGCCATTTCTCCCTCTGTGATGACGACGTATTGCAGTGTATTACCGGAAGTCAAGCAGCACCGAAGTATCTATGCCTATTTCTAGGAACTTAACTACTGTTAACTTTTTTTTAAAAGTGCAATTAAATTTTTTGAGAGGTACAAGGGAGAGAGGGAAGCAGGCACGTAGACAGGACTGCACCATGCTGTGAATGCCCAGCTCACTCCTTAGCCTTCCAGCCAGCCAGGAGCACAGCAGGGCGTGCCCCACGTTCTGGCATGTTTCGGGAAGAACCAGGATCTGAATGGCAGTCTCCCAGGGCTCCAGCATTGCAGAGCAGCGGCCGCTCCCTGCACGGCAGGGCCTGTTGAGGTTTTGCCTTGTATCTTGGGAGAACTTTCTGGCATATGTAAACCTACATATGTCCAGTTTTTCATAAATGGGATCATGCTATCATACATGTACTTCCAGGCCTCCTTTTGTCCCTCAGTTGTTATGGATGTCTTTACACGTCCTGGTGGGGTGGAGATTAGAGGAAAAGGATGTGGCTTGACCAGGACCCATTGCGTGGCATATTCTCTCTCTCTCTCTGTCATGCATGCACGTGCACCTTCTGGCTTTAAAAAAATGTACTACTTTTTTTTTTCATTCCTGGTTAAATGAACAAATTAATAATACTTAAGAGAGTTTGAAATTTTGTAGCATTACCTTTGCTGCTTAAAACAAAACAAATAATGGGGCCAGCAGGTGGCTTGGTGGTTAAGGTGCTAAACTCTCACATAACTGACTACGGTTAGAATCCTGGACTTGGCAGCTTGAAAATCATGCTGGTGCGTGTGCGTGCGTGCCCCAAATCCTGAGAGGAGAATGGAGGAGTAGGGATTGCAGCATGGCCATCCCCTCTGGGGTGTGATTTCTCATACTCCCTCCCTCCGTCTCTCTCTGACAAGTGCAAAAGCCTATGACAAAAATAAAAAAAGAAAACCAAATACAAACAACACACGTTCCAGAACCATGATTTTTCAAACTCCATGTTTTATGAACATTTTATTTGCATTTAACTTTTATTGTATCTTTTTAAGTATTAATAAATCTAGTAAAAAAACCACATTCAAGTTTATTAATACCAAAAAATTTTGCCCATCAAAATTGTATTGATTATATAATCACCAAATGCTTTAAACTGAACTCACAAAATAAGTTTCTGATAACATTATTCTCTTTTTGTTTATGGGGAAGAGTCCATTGTACGAAAAGTTGGGAGCTGCTTCCCTGAGGCAGGGTCCGACTGCCTGCTCCAGGCCAGGGTTCCGTGCGCAGGTCACAAAGTCACTAGGTCAGGTTTCCCCTTAGTCTGTTATCACTCATGAGACATTTACTCAGCTAATCCCAGTGAGGCTGCGCCCTGCAGGATGCCAGGCCCAGATCTGTCCTGTTCAGTCATGGCCCTCCAGCACCAGCACAGGGCTGGCCCATCATAAGTGCTCATGAAATAATCACTCCGTGGATGAAACGCACTCCACCTCTACGTAAACTCCGTGATGGGCATGGAGGGGTGAGGATGCATAAGATACCCCCTTCATCCTTGAAATGGTCATAGGCTGGCCCAAAAGGAAGACACAGGACTGGTCTGATATGGCAGGATGCAGTAAATGCTGATCAGGAATGGTGAACGGGTGACTAGAGTCAGTGTTGCTCTCACATAGAATTTCCCATGAGGTGATTAGGACAATTCACCATGTAGGTTGAATTTTTAAAAATTATTTAATTTTATTTATTATGATCATCACTTGTTTAAAATTTGCTCTAGGGCATGTGTGCTTATCAGAGAGAGAGAGACAGAGAGAGAGGGAAAGTGAGAAAGAAAGCTGCCAGGTCCAAGACTCGAACCATGTTTCCCCATGTGGGAATCCAGTGCCTTAACCACCGTGCCACCTGTTGACCTAGGACTGAATTTTAAAACCATGCAATTTTGGTTTTGGAAGGAGCTTAAAGACTCTTCAAGGGCCCAACAGGTGGCCTAGTGGTTAAAGCACTGGACTCCCTTACGGTTGACCACAGTTCAAGTCCCAGACCCAGCGGCTTGAAACATACCAGGCGCATGTGTGTGCATGCCCAAAATCCTGAGAGGAGAATGAAGAAGAAGCGATTGTAGTGTGGCCAAAAATCTGTCTAATAAAAAAAAAAGGACTCAATCCAAGCAAGGTGGCTCTGTTGGGATCTCCCTCCCTGCCCCCACCCTCACTTCCCAATAGAAATATGTTTCTGTTAACTCATAATTCTTATTAGAAAATGCAAAAAATAGCAAGTGAAATCCACTTGCCTCTGCCACCTGGAAGCCACAAGAACGGTAATCGTGAACAGTTCAGGGGACATTCCTTGGATGTTTCGCTTCATAAATAGTGGGTCATCAGAAAAGTCACGCAGCTTTCCTCTTTCTGCCGTCCTGGAGCCTGTGGAGGCCTGCTGGGAACAGTGCTTCTAAACGGCAATTATGTCTGGAAGGCTGTGGTTCAAGGCCATTTTTGCTGGCTGTAAGTGGGGTCTCAGGAACCAAAGGGAGCATACAGCTCTTCTTAAAATGGAAGGTTATGCACAAGATGAGGCAGAACTCTGTTTAGGCAACAGGTGTGCTTATGTGTACAAAGCAAAACACAGCACAGTGACCCCTGGTGGCAAACCAAATAAAACCAGAGTAATCTGGGGGAAGGTTACCCGTGCCCGTGGAAATGGTGGCACGGTTCGAGCCAAATTCCGAAGCAACCTTCCTGCTATGGCCATTGGACACAGAATCCGTGTGATGCTGTGCCCCTCAAGGATTTATTTATTATTTATTTTTAAAATTTCGGGAGAAGTTTTGCTATAGGGGACGTGTGCCTGCCAGAAAGAGAGAGATGGAGAGCGAGAAATCACCCTCCAGGCAGATGGCCATGCTGCAATCCCCTTTCCTCCATTCTCCTCTCAGGATCTTGGGCATGCACACACATGCACCCGGTGTGAGTTTAACCCACCAGCCCAGGACTTGAACTGCAGTCGGCTACATGGGAGTCCAACGACATAGCCATTATGCCAACTGCTGGTCCCCCACCTCAATAATTTAAAATAATGAAAAGCAAATGAATAAAAATGGATTCGTGTTATTTAAAAGAAAAGTCATGACACATTTTTACATTAAAAAAGCAGAATACATCATGATTTTGCCGAAGACCCAATATACTTAGATACATGGATAAATAAAAGATATATATGGTCTAATTAGTGCACATTATTCTACTTACAGTCATGTATATAATTATATATGTTAATTAGATAATTAATTAGACCAATTCGTAATATCTTTTCATATCAATTCACAGAGATCTACATTGTCCTCTCTAAAGGCCACATGATATTACGGGACCAGCAGTTAGCATAATGGCAATGTTGCTGGACTCCCACGTAGCTGGCCGTGGTTCGAGTCCTGGACCTGGTGGCTTAAAACTCACGCCGGGTGCGTGTGCATGCGTACCCAAGGTCCCAAGAGGAGAATGGAGGAGAAGGGACTGCGGTGTACCCATCCCCCCCGGGGGATGATTTCTCGCTTTCTGTCTCTCTATCTCTGTCTTTCTGGCGAGCACACGCTCCCTATACCAAAAACCCTCCCTCCCCCCCCCCAAAAGGCTGCATGATATTTCATTTTGTGACTGAATAATAGTTTTGTTAATTGGTCTCTTACTTGTGCACTTTGAGATTTTTTTTCCAAACTGCCGGAGCAGGAAGTTGAACCCTGGTCGGCCATGTGGGATCTGGCTTTTCTCTGCTCAGCTCTTAAACGCTGTGCAACGGCCCTGGCCAGGTCACTCCTTTCCCTTGCCTTGCTTTCTTTCGGTTGCTATTATAAGCCATACTGCAATATTCTTGGACATATGTCTTTGTGTGCTTATCTTTACAATAAATTCCCAGAATAAGAATCATTGAGTCCAAAGGGGTATATATTTAAATTTTTGAAATGTATCCTGGGAAACAGTTTTCAAGAAGGTCACAGCCATTTATAGACTCAGCAAGTGAGTGCAAGCATGTTTCCTAACATTCTTTTTCTTTTTTTTTTTTGGAGAGGTTTTCACTATAGGTCGCATGCGCTCTCCAGACAGAGAGAGACATAGAGACAGAAAGCGAGAAATCACCCCCCAGGGGGGATGGCCACGCCACAATCCCTTCTCCTCCATTCTCCTCTCGGGATCTTGGGCACGCACGCACACGCGCCCGGCGTGAGTTTTAAGCCACCGGGTCCGGGACACGAACCGCGGTCGACTACGTGGGAGTCCAGCGACATAGCCATTTCGCTAACTGCTGGTTCCCTTTCCTTACATTCTTGACATTCTTGACTGGAGTATATTGTTCTTTCTAACCTTTGCTAATTGGATTGGGATCAACTGGTATCTTGTTTCTTTTTGTCTATTTGTTTTTCTTGTTTGTTTTGTTTTTAATTTGCTAGAGGTTGTGTGTGCTCCCAGAGAGACAGAAACAGAGAAAGTGAGCAAATATTTCCCAAGGGAATGGCCATGCCTCAATC